AATAACTATCATCTGGCTGTCGTAGCGGTTCCCGGCTTCTTGGCTTTGCGGCTTCTCCGCTTCCTGGCTTTTTTGGCTTCTTGGCTCTGCGGCTTCTTGGCTTTGCGGCTTCTTGGCTTCGTGGCTTTCCGGCTTTTTGGCTTCTCGGCTTCCTGGCTCAGCGGCTTTATGGCTTTTTGGCTTTTTGGCTGTGTGGCTGTTTGGCTTTGTGGCTTCCCACCCCTGAAGCCATAAACCCTTAAGTCACCCTCTGTCAAGCCCTTATCCCTAAATCCCTCAACCCTAAAACACTTAAGTCCTCAAAACTAAATCCACAAAACTTTCAATGCCGAATCCATTCACAAAAACCTTCAATACATCGCCAAAAGCCCTCCACCCTAAATCACCCAAAACCCTTTAAGCAAAATCCTCCCAAGACCCTCAGTCCCCACCCATAGGCCATTGTAGTTCCATTTTGGGGGGTATTGACACCTCTAAACCCTAACCCTAACCCTACCCGAGTCTACACCTTAGGTGCAGGCTTTTGAAGGCGAGAGTTCTTTAAGGGTTCTACAAGAGATCACGTAGTAAGGGTCCTACACTATTGGGGCCTTCCTGCGGGATAGCCCAAAACCTCTAAACCCTGAGCCCAGATACTGGCTTTCCCCGACCTCTCAAGGCTTTGATGTATTCTAGCCAATGCTGCCATCGACAGGGTATAGGGTTTAGGGGTTTAGGGTTTAGGGCTTAGGGCTTAGGGTTTAGGGTTTAGGGTTTAGGGTTTAGGGTTTAGGCTCAAGTTTCAGCTCCGGAAAGGTTCCTTGAATGATGGGCTGACCGACTAGAACCCGAAAACCCCCCCAGCCCCTCGACCCCAGAACCCCAATGCAGCTCTAGCACCCCAAAGCCCCCAATCCCAAAAACCCTACAGTCCTAAAGCCCTAAAGCCCTAAACCCTAAAACTAAAGCCGTTGTAGCAACCTAAACACCCTAAAACCATAAGACCCTGAACACCCAAGAACCCTAAAGCCCCAAAAACACTAAACATCCGAAGGCCTGATTCCTTAAACCCCACTGTAGGGGCCTAAATAATTACCAGTACTAGTTTTGGGGTGTCTTATTATAGTTGTAGTATAATGGGCCCCCAAAACACTATTCTAATTATCAATGGCCCCCATACCCTAAACCTTTATATTAGTTTTATCGAACCCTTTAGGGAACCCGTTAAAGGAACCCCCGAAACCTTTTCTAATATTAAGGCCCCTATACCAAACGACTCCGAACTCCATATCTTGAAAGCTCCCTTATTGAGCCCTTTCCCGGAACCCCTCTACTACCCCTTAAAAACCCCTAAACCCCTAAACCCCATAATATCGAACCCTTCAAGGACTTACTTCCCCAATAAGCCACGAAGTTAAAAGCTTAAACTTTCAGATTACTACTAAAATTATCATAAGAACCCAAAATGTTTAAAGGTTTTGTATTGGAGAACTAAGTTAACCCTAAACCCTAAACCCCTAAACTCCTAAGCCCCTTAACCCTAAACCCTAAACCCCTAAACCCTAAACCCCTAAAGCCCTAAACCCCTAAACCCAAAACTCTGAACCCCTAAACCCTAAATAAACACCTAAACCCGTGAACCCCGAAACCCTAAACCCTAAGACCCTAAACCCCAAAACCCTTAAACACCCTAAGACCCTAAAACACCCTAAACCCCTAAGGCCCTAAACTCCTAAGACCCTAAACCCGTAAACCCTATAAACCCTAAACCCCTAAACCCTAAATCCCTAAACTCCTAAACCCTAAACCACCCCTACACCCCAAGCCCCTAACCCCTAGACCCCTAAGACTCTAAACCCCTAAGACCCTGAACAAAAAAACCTTAAGACCCTAAAAAGCCCTAAACCCCTAAGACCCTTAAAATATGGAGAAAATTAGGGTTTTGTCTGTGAAATTAAAACAAA